TAAAATATAACAGATATACTATAGGAACTTGGAGCGGCCAAATCTAATATTCTACCATACTTCTCTCTAGCAGATATCTTACCTATGATATGTGTTTTAAAATGTAAGACTAAGTTTATTAAACCTTTGGTTTGCACTGCACATTTAGTGGCATCAAATAATAATTATGACTATTAGTGCTTTTTGAAAGTTTTTTTTTTTAACAGTTTCTCGAGTTTATTTTTATATTAATAATGATGGGACCCATTTATCAAACCCTCACTGTGTTACAGGTACTTAACATTAATTATTAGCCACTTAACCTTAATTATTCTCTTATAATATTCACAACCAATCTAAATACCAAGACTGAGAGAGATGTGATGACTTGCACTAGTGGGTGAAAGGAGCTGAAATTCAAAGCTCCTGCTCTTGGTTTCATTCCCTTTACCATTTCATTCAACCGGGCCATAGTGCTCGCTCAATCTCACCTACGGTCAATTCTGTTCTACTTCTTAGGCCTTGTATTATTAGATTTTGGGGTTTTGTTTTTCTTTTCTTTCTCACATCCAAGTCACTTTATTTTAAACTTTGAACCAGAGTTTGCACACAATTTTTTTCTTATTTATTCATATATTTTAAGGTGACAAATACAAATTGTACACATTTATCATGTACGTGTTTTGAAATATGTATACATTGTGGAATGGCTAAATGTAGCTAATTAACATATGCATTACCTTACATACTTTTCATTTTTTTATTATGAGAACACTTAACATCTACTATTGCCAGCAGTTTTCAAGACTACAATACATCATTATAAACAATAGTCAACATATCATACAATAGAGCTTTTGAACTTACTATTTCTCCTAGCTAAGTGACATTTTGGCCAACATCTCTCTCCACCCCAGGCCTTGGAAACCAAGATTCTACTCTCTACCTTTATAAAATCAACTTTTTTAGATTCCACAGATGAGTGAGATCATAAAGTATTTTTGTTTCTGTTCCTGACTTATTTCACTTAACATAATGTCCTCCAAGTTCACCCATGGTGTTGCAGATGACAGGATTTTCTTCATTTTTTAAGGCTGAATACTATTCCATTGTGTCTGTATACCACATTTTCTGTATTCATTCATTTGTGGATAGGCACTTAGGTTGATTTCATATCTTGACTATGTGACTTGTGCTGAAATGAACATGGGAGTATGCACACTAATCTATATTAGAAGATTGTTGTGTACTGAAACAATGACATATTATAAAAACTTCACCTAGCCTTTGTAAGCATCCAGTGCAGCATTCTCTGCTTTGATGGAAATGTTCTATATTTGCTTTGTTACATATGGGAGCCACTAGCCACATATACTGTTGAGCACTTAAAATATGGCTAGTGTGCCTGAGCAATTGACTCTAATTTTAATACAGGTAGTGGCTATAATATTGAATAGTAGGTCAAAATGAAATAACTTCATGCATATATCCACCCTGTAGAGCTGACTCCCCAGTACTGCCCAGACAGCACACAGAAAGTGAGCCAGTCTCTTTAAGAAAGCAAGTGAACCCTGACACTATACTCTTCCTTTTCCAGCTACTGTAAAGATGGCACCATTACTGTGTTTGCAAGAGTAAAGACCAGTTTTCCTTTAGGAGATTAACCCCAGCTATACTCACACTTATATAACAGTAGTTTTCTACCTGAGTTGGAGAATTGCTCCCTTAAGGCACATCAGCTGTCAGGCATGAAACTTGCTGTGTGTTGTAGATCTGAAGATCTAGGTGGTGGGTGGATTTGATTTCTCTGGACCTGCCTGAGGCCAAAATTGTTTCCGCTTCATTATTCTGAAAAATGGAAACTTTCCACGAGGCAATCTAAAGTTCTAAAACACAAATGCTGGTAGATATAAAAAATTTCAAAGTCCTTATCTACAGAATTCTTTGTTTTGTACAGTAACTGTTGCCTCATGCTTAAATCAGTTCACTATAAAGACATCACAAATCTAAGCATGATATTTTCTAACACTATGCAGTCCTACTGGGATAAGCTTTTTCCATCACGGAAGTGAAACTCTGAATGCTGTAGTCACAGGATTTCACTGAGACAAAACTGTACAGGAGACAAATCCATCTTTGACACCCCTAATTATCCCTTTCTTCACAGTCCCCCTTCCTTTAACACACTGTACCCTATATGTTACTTTTTTTTTCTCTCTTCTGTCCAACCCTCTTGAACTAGGTAATCTTTGCCCTCTCCTAGATCATGGTCAGTTCCTGGAAAAATGGCTAAAATCCCTGAGCTTCAGATGAGGGAGATCTAAGAAAATCTCACCTTGTAGGTGTTCTTGAATCTTAAGCACAACATTATCTCTGTTTAAGGAGTTAAGTGTTTTGTATTATTCTAAATATATTTAAAACAATTTGATAAAACAATAACTTATCTTCTTGCTCCTGAAATCTCACTCCAATTTTATGTACCTATTGTTCATACGTGTAAAGTTAACTTTGATTTAGGGTCAGACTTATGTTTCTATATCAAAGAAGACATCTAAATCGAAAATGATCATATAAGAAAACCTATTTATCAGTGAATACTGGTGTTATGATGCCTTATGGTATTAAATTAGAGATGAAAGCATCCACATGGTACTTACCTTAAAGAAACATTCAAGTAAATTGTTTTAGAAAATAGATTTTTTTCAAACACTGTGTTCTTACTGTTGGGATGGCAATTTGCAGGAAAGCAAGGAGAGAAGCCTAGAATGATTCATGTGGTAGCAGATTAGAGTTGGAGACATCAATCAAATTTAGCTTCATGTAGATACAAATGAATACAGATAGAAATATTTATAGATACCTGTATATACACAGGTTAGTATATACACATATACTTTCCAGCTCTTTAGCTGAGAAGTCCTAGAAGTAAGGATTTCTAGTAGCAACAAACACACTTAGTGCCTAGATCTGGGTTTCTAACACCCTTCTCCAGTAAAAGAAACCAGGCCTCCTTTAAAAAATAGCTGATTCTAGGACTGGGGCAGGAAACGTAAAACAAAAACTTAGAGAATCTTGTAGTGCCAGAAAATAAAGTGCTAAAGTGCATGCATGCTAGTGCACACCCACCCTCACCCACACACAAAATGGTGAGAGTGTGTAGAAGTAATAAAGGATCCAACTGAAAAAGCTATGGATGGAAGCTCATTTATTCACAGATGAAAGAATTTGAGAAGCAACATAAAATAGTATTGGATTATAAGCCAACATATAAAATAAGTATCTATGAGGTCATATTATTTATTAAATATGTAAATGAAAGAGAAGAGACAAATAAATCTACCATGCAGAAGAATTTCAATATATATGGATATATGTGGACACTTCATCCTCAAGGAGGTGGAGCATAATTCTCCACTCGTTAAGTATGGGCTGTGCATAATGATGTCCTTCCAAAGAAGAAGGAGGAAGACACAAAAAAAGAGTAATTTTACAGTGAAAAAAACCTAAAAAATACTACCTTAGTCAAGTGATCGATGTCATCAATGACAAGTGATGTTAATAGTATGTACCCTTAATAGGATGTGATGGAATGGCACTCACATTTATCTTTTTCCCCTGAACTCAAAATCCCAGTCTAATCATAAGAAAAGCAACATACAAATCCCAATAGTGGTACATTGTACAAAATAGCTGTCCAGTTTGCCTAAAACCATCAAAATGATCAAAAATAAGGAAAGTCTGAGAAACTCTTATAACAAAGAGGATTCTAAGGAGACATGAATATTAAATATAATGTGGTATCCTGGATGGGATCTTGGAAGAGGAAAGGTATATGATGTAAAAATGAAGGACAGCTGAATATAATATGTACTTTAGTTAATAAAAATATACCAATTTATTAATTATAACAAATGCAACAAACTAATGTAAGATGTTATTAATAGGGGAAACTCAGTGTGAAGGTAAATGGGAACTTTTCGTACTATCTTTGTAATTTTTATATAAATCTAGAACTATTTTAAAATTAAAAGTTAATTTAAAAAATTAAAAAATTTGAACTGTCACTAAACACATCACAAACACTCACTGTGTAATATATAACATTTTAATCAGAATAATATCTAAAATTCTAAATGTTTTCTATTAAAAATTATATTTACTTTTAAATTTTGTTGAATTATATAAATTATGTATATACACACACATATACATATATGTATAATTTGTTTAGGTAACTAAGAATTTCAAAGTTTCTTTAACAACATCAAGGGAAAAAAGTAAGTAAAGTTGCAATACAATATAAGAAACATGCATATCTTTCATTATTACTATATTTCTGAAGGGAACATCCAGTGTTACTTATGATTTTTATCTTAATTTGCCAATGATATCTTTTTGTAAGAGTTGTGTCAGGTGAAATGTTAATGGAAAAAATGCACTGGTAGAATTTTGGGTGTTTGTAAAGTTGCAAAACTCAGTATATGTGTTATTATCAAAGTCATCACTTAAACTATTTGTAATATACTGATTAAAAGAGAAAACAAAACAGTAGCATATAGGGCAATATAAAAATTGCTAACGAGAAATATAATTTATCTTACAGAATGTCAGGTTGCTTACCTGAAGATGCAACACAAAATAAATAAATATCATTAACAAAATATTAATCCTATAAGGGTTAAACCCAACAATGACAACAATAACTATTTTTGTATGTTTACTGATTATGGCATAGAAAACACTATTTATATTTATTATAAATATATTTGGAAGGAGGGTTTGGAAAAAATTTTATTGCCACTATTATATTTTAGTTTTCATAATAATATCAATTTTGAGGCATGATAACAGCCAAATAGTAGAATAGGAAGCCCCAGACCCTCCTGGTCCCATGTAGACATTAACTGAACAACAATTCATGCCCAATTGACTTTGTGCAAAATTTTGAAACCAGTTAAGAGGTTCCTACACCCCAGAAAAGCATAAGGACAACTGTATGGAAGCCTAGTAGGAAAACTCACAGCATTCACTTGCCAGAGCCCTTCCCTTGGTACAGGTGCAGTGAAATCAGGAGAAAACTTCCAACTCTCAGCTTCTCCCTGGGAAGGGAAAGAGAAGAGTGAAATGTATATCCAACATCCTGACTTTCATGGGGCTGTCCGAAGGACTGTTTTCTATCTTGCCTGAGTCTAAGCACTGACAACAATAGGGAGCCTGTTTAGGGCTGCAGAACAAAGGTTATTAACATGGCTTGGTCTAGTACACGGTCTGCTGAACCACAGAAAGACATCAGAGTTGCTTCTGAGTAGGAACTGGCAAACATCTTCAATTAGATAGCAGACACAATCCCAGAAAAGGCTTCATATGACTCCAGAACATCTAGCCCAGCTGATTATTGAAAGTCTTCCCTGTATAAAACTGGATTGACAAAGATTGAAATATGTGGCTAATTTTCAAATGCCTAAGTCCCAACAGAAGATAGGGAGGCATAAAAAGAAATAACCGAAATATGGCACAATCACAGGAACATATTAATTCTCCAGAAACTAACGACAAAGAAGTAGAGATATATGAATTATCAGACAAAGAATTCAAAATAAACTTAATAAGGATGCTCAGTAAATTAAAATAGAGTATAGACAATAAAATCAGGAAAATGATGCATGAACCAAGTAAGAATATCAACAAAGAGAGAAACTATGAAGAAGAACCAAACAGAAATTCTGGAGCTGAAGAATGTGATAATTGAATTGAAAAATTCACTATAGGGACTCAACAGCAGCCTTGAGGAGGCAGGAAAAAGAATCAGTAAACTTGAAGACAGGACATTTGTAATTTTTGAGGTAGAGGACCAAAAAGAAAAAAGAGTAAAGAAAAGTAGAGACAGCCCAAGAGACTTATGAGATGCCATTATGTGGAACAACAAAAGCATTACTGAAGTCCAAGAAAGAGAAAAAAAGAGAGAAAGAAGCAGAGAAATAATGGCTAAAAGAAATAATGGCTGAAAACTTCCCAAATTTGAAGTGAGAAATTGACATACAAATTCAAGAAGCTCAAAGAACTCCAACTATAATAACCCTAAAGAGACATCACCAAAACACATCATAGCCAAATAATCAAAATTCACAAGACAGAATCTTGAAAGCAACAAGAGAAAAGAGACTCATCATATACAAGGGAGCTTCTATTAGATTGTCAGCAGATTTCTCAGCAGAATCTCTGCAAGCTAGAAAGGAGCAGAATGGTTAGTCAAAATGCTGAAAGAAAAACAAATGGTAACTAAGAATACTATATCCAGTGAAACTGTCCTTCAAAAATGAAGGAGAAATTAAGATTTTCCCAAATAAACAACAAATGAGGGAGTCCATCACAACTAGACTTACCCTACAAGAAATGCTGAAGGGAGTCCTTCAAATCAAAATGAAAGAATGATAAATAGCAACAGGAAAGAATACAAAAATATAAAACTCCCTGATAAGGTTAAATGCATATATACAAATATAGGATATTGTAGTATTGTAATATAGGTGTATAAGTAATTTAAAAATCTGGTATAGAATTAAAAAAAACAAAAGCATAAAAAGTAATTATAACTCTACGTTAATAGATGCACAATATAAAAAGGTAATTTGTGCCATCATTAAAGTGGGGGTAACAGAGATTTAAAGGAGTAGAGTTTTCACATGTGATTGAAGGTAAGTTGTAAGTCAGTTTAAAATAGATGGTTATAACTTTAAGATGTTTTACATAATTGCGATGGTAATCACAAAGAAAATATCTATAGAATATACACAAAGGGAAATAAGAGGCATACCAAAACATGTCTCTACAAAAAAAAAAAAATCAATGAAACACAGGAGGCAGCAAGAGAAGAAAGAAGGAGTAAAATAAGGTATAAGACACACAGAAAAAATTAACATGATAGAAATAGTAAGTCCTTCCCTAACAGTAATGACTTTAAATGTAAATAATCACTCAAATTCCAAGGCATAGGTTTGCGGAATGGATTAAAAAAAATAAACAACAACAAAAAAACCAAGATCCAACCATATGCTGTCTACAAGAGATTCACTTTAGATCTAAGCACACACATAGTCTAAAAGTGAAAAGATAAAAAAGATATTCCATGCATGGAAACCTAAAGAGAGCAGGGGTGGCCATACCTATATCAGCAAAAATAAACTTTAAGACAAAAATGCCACAAGAGACAAA